ACTGCCAGCACGTAGTCCGCTGCAGATCACGGCGTCTCCGCCTCGAATCAATATCCACAGATGGGATGCCAAACACAATGAGGTAGTCCCTCTCCCTCCATGTCTCTATGGTGCTGTGTGGGATGTAGCGCAGAGACTCATTCATCATTGTGGCGTCTGGACTATCAGTATTCCTGCTTCTGGTGTTTTTGGCCAATGGTATATTGGAGTGGGACTCACTCGATTGGACTACCATATCAGCGTCCAGGTAGTAATCACCAATGAACACTACCACCAACAAAAACAGCAGGAGTGTACCGTAAATGACGGCTCTCCGTGGTGCCTTGCACACCATGTTCACTCTGTGTCACTAGAGGTGAGGGGTGAAGAGAGAGGGATGAGGATGTATACAAGGGGGGCAGTGACCCATACACACACACACACAAAACAGAGCAAGAATAGTAACAGCTTACAATTATGTATAAAATCAATGATATCAGAATATTCACGAAACAAAAAGATTGTTAGGACACTTAACAATGAAAACTAATTTACCCCCCCCCCCATTGTCCAAAATTGCACTATGGGACTATACGTTGTACCATTCCCAAACCTATCCATTAGAATTGCATACTCGTCTTCTTGCAAATTATGAATGACAACAGACATTGGGTTTACCTTGAATTGGATACTACCCTTCTCAATATGTTCAAACCGACAAATATCATCGGCCACAAATACCAAAGGAGTGTATGGAGAGTCAACTTGCAGCACACGGCCCACCATGACATCTTCATGATCCATACTGAGTGATAGAAATTCCTGTTCTCGCTCCTTCTTGTACGGGAGATGTACTAAACGCTTCAATGGCTCGTAAGAGACAAAATGTTCAGCAACATCCCTAGACAGGGTGTAACACCGCCCAACAGCAATACGATATCTCACACTCGTATTACCTCGTCGAAGTCCAAGAGTGTTGGGAAGACCCCAATATATACCTTTTCGTGGTAATAAACGTAAATCCGATAAAAACTGCGGCACACGCAAAAAGATGTCATCATCACCCTTTGTAATGTAGCTCACATTCGGGAATACTTGTAGTGCTAGATCAAACCACAGGAATGTTTTGCGGCTCATACCAAT